TGAGCATTCTGTCACCTTTCTGCAAGGTGCAGAAAGCCTACACAGAAAAAACATTAAAAACCCACACAGAAAAACAAACTAGCTAAGGAAGTGGAGGCTACGAAGGCAGAGTTACAAACAAACACCACTTACTTTAAATATCAAAGAAAACAGCTATCAATAATACAAGCCTAGTAAGTCACAGAAAGCCTGGCAAAGGAAAGGCACTGTCTTTTCCTTGCAGATCCGGGTTACAGAAGCCACGACTCCTGCAACTGCATTATTGCTCAGTTCTCAACCAGGTCAGCTGCACAAAGGCTCATTAAATATTTACAAGTGACATTTTTCTGACTTGTGACAACCAGGATCAAGATAACCATCTGTTTTCTACAGACATTCTGTTCAAATAAGTTTGAAAAGTCAACCAGCAAGAAAAGAACAAATAGCAACAGAGCCTCCAGCGTAACAATTGCTAGGCTTTTGACTAGCCACAAATGAAAAATCTTACCCCTTCCTTGAAAGCCACAGAAAATGGCCATAGTTAGAGAAGGTTTCTTCAACAAACTTGGCACCTCTTAAAAGAGTACAGGGCACAAACTTCAGGACTAAGAACACAAAGAACAACCAAGTGGTCTATTTCTAATCACAGTAGTTGCTGGAGATTGTTCTGAAATGGCAAAGTATGGTGTCGCGTGAAAAGGTTGTTTTCTGATTTTTAAGTTACCTCCAGTAATTATTCCACATATTGTAATGAGCCCATTTTAAAAAACTGTGACATAAAGCAACAAACAGAAGAAAGAAATCTCACACACACTAACACACGTTTCCCCACAAGAGGTTGTCTTTGTAGAAACCCCATGAAAGTTGATTTCTTTGTGTGCCACGTGCAAACACATTACTTGCACCACCCAGTACCTGATAATGCACTAACAAAGCAAATTTCTTGTGTAAATGAGATCTAAATCACGTTGCTGCATGGAGAAGCTCACCACTGCCAGGAAAAAACAGCCACCAAGTCTTAGTTTGTACATACAGACACACTCAACTACTTGGCAAAAAGGCTTCCACCACAGAAATTTCAGAGTTAAAAAAAGAAGGTGTGCTTTTCTTCCCACAATCCTGGCATTATATTCCTTTTCTGACATGAATACTTGTGAAAGAAGTGGGATCGCCAGTACTGGAGACAGCCTACTACTAAAACCACATAATGGGTACAGTGACAGAAACCCAAGTTCCTTTTACCAGAATATTCCTACCTCTTGTACCTAAGGACTTCTCAAAGCACTAATTCAGCTTTCTCGCCTTTGCAGTTCACAGCCTCCCTGCGTGGGCTTTTTACCAGGCTCCCACAGGCACTGCTGGTCTTTGGAACAGAGCTGGGACAGGGCTCCAAAACCCACCCCCTTCATGCAGGGCTCCGTGCAGACACCGGGATAGAAGTCTTTTGGCTAGGTTAGAATGCAAGCCAGAAACCTGCTGGTAAAAAGCTCTAGTAATTCTGTACCAGGCCAAGCCCTCAGTCATTCTTAATTCATCCTGTTACTGTCTGCAGAAACTATGATTCACGAAACAGAAGCAAAAGAAGATGCTTCAGCCAAAGAAATCAAGTCCCACTTCAACAAAGTAGTTGTCTCGTTACCCTCCACGTTATGTGGGGTTGGCAGAACCGTGTCTTGTGTTCCCAAATACAGGTCACACTTCAATTAAAGTTGAAAACGTTCTTCGCTGTGGGACACAGGCACAATGCCCATGGTGTCTTCCTCAAACCAGAGCACTACAGCCACAGAAACAAGCACAGGAGAAGATGGTTTCCTACACCTTACACCAGACTGACAGAAATAACTGACTGGCATTGAGCTGCGTTGCAGACTGGAATAGCTCTGTCTCAGGGCTGTTAAGAAATGCTCCAAATACTTGGTTAAAATGCTCTGTCATTTTAAAAAGGAATCATCTTTATTTTTTATCTCTTCCAATCTGTCTCCGTAAATACATAAAATAAATTCCTTGTTAAGGTCAAACACTTCTAGATGTCCTGGTTGATGCAAACAATCAAGGTTTGCCTAATCTAATTTACACAAGAGGTTAACATGGACTAGCAGAAGCTGAACGCCACTTACCAAAGGACAACGTTGAAAAATACTCATTGCCTAGTTATAAACAAGGTAGCACTGTATTTAACTCAATAGATACCACTTCCCTTTCCTCACAGAACAAGTACCTAGCCATAAAAAACAACCCAGATACTATAGGAATGTTGATTTCACACCTGATTTTTTCAAAATTACTTGGTTATAGATTAACTTTGCCCCACAGCAGCAAAGCAGACATAAGAAGTGAACACACAACACTCACCACTGGTTATTTTTGCTGTAACTATGTATATTGCTGATGCAGAACCATTTGTGAAAATCTGCCCTGATGCAAAATTGTGATGAAAACTCAAGATACTGCATCACTTTTCAAACAATGTGTTCTCAAAGTAGGTACGTGTTGTCTTTGTAGCAGCTCAGTCTTTAAAAGTATACTAACAACTTCAAATAGAACAACCGGAAAAGCAAGAAAAGTTGACGTTCTTGAGCAAATATTTTCTTTGTTGGCACCTAATCCTACACCTTGTGCTAGTCAGCTCTATCCCTATCCTGAGCCAGGGGCAGAGATCAACATGAGCCATTCAGCAGCCACCGAGAGTTCTGGCAGTTCTGGCCACTCCATGGGCAGCAGTGAAAGGAATCATTGCTGCCACCTCTACGAAATTTGGAGTAGAAAGGGAGTAGAAAGCCAGTTCCCCAGCTCCAAAGCAGACACCGTCACCAACTGTGTTGAGCTTGGCCACTGCAGCAGGGTACAGAAAAGGAGGTAACTACTAAACAAACTGTCCTGGTTTTTAGCTGAAACAGAGCTGGGTTTCTTTTTAGCAGCTAGAATAGTGCTGTGTTTTGCTTTCAGCCTGGGACTTGTTATGAGAGAAACACTGATAACAAACCAGTGCTTGTATTTTTGTCACTGGAAGTGAAGCACTTCATGTTTTGTTAGTCTGGAAGTGCAAGATCTAAGGGGGTGAGGAATATTTAAATTAATAAGCTAAACTGGCATTTGGGTATGCCAATGGGATATTCCATATCATATCACATCATGTCCAGTATATTAGTGAGGG